GGACTGCCTGCTGAAACAGAGGTAGCCTTTGTGGGGTAGCGCAGGCAGAGCCAAGTAATTAGCACTCTCTCTGCAGCTAATGGACAGACAGGATTGTGTGAAGGCACTACATTACTTCTAATTCAGAAAGTAGCCCACACTAGGTAATGTGACATGTTTGAAGCCACTTCTGCATGGCACAGCACGTTTGTGTTTTAAACCTGTCTTCTGACATAGACATTAGAAAAATGTGGCTTATCTGGGCTAAGTCCCTAAGGAGGGATGTGGTGTCACCAGTCCCACAGGTTTCTCTTCTACCCTCACAGATGCCACAGCAACCCCTGCAATGTGGTAGAAATTCTACAGCCCAGGACAGGTAGAAAGGAAGCAAGCATGCTCCACAGTGTGTCTTCCTTCTTAGGGCTGAAAAGATTGCTCATCAGTTTATGAAAGTATATAAATGTTGCCTCCCTGTCAGGCCAGGCCTCTCTTGGTCTGCTACCTGGTACATGTAAACCAGTACAGCCTGTTCCAGGGTTGGGTTGCCGGTGACTAAACCAGCACCCCAACCTGGGCTAGCCTGGGTGAGGAAGGTGTGTGGACACCCAGCAGAACTAAAAAAAAAAGACCTGTCAAAGGGCAGATGAGCTCCCTGTGAGCCAAACGCCATCCATACCTGGAGAGGAGATGGGTGCTACCAGGTCACTTTGCCTGAAAAATCACCACTGATGTAATGCAACTCAACTAACTTCAAAAGGGGGCTGTTACAGCCATTGGGAACACATAGGGGGTGAACGCAGGTCCACAGGCACGCCCTGAGCTTGGTGACGCACCCCCCTGCAAAAAAGGCACTGCCGGCTCACCACCCCCACCATCAGCAGCATCTGCAGGCAGTCCCCAATTGCTTCTGGCTGCTGCTGCCACTGCCAGTGGCAGCTGTGGGTGATCACTGACTTCTGGTCAGTGCTTGCCACCCTGCCTCCCCCCAACACCACCAACAGTGCCACGGCTGCCTGCAGGAGCTCCCCGCTCGCCGCCATCATGCCTCTGCCACCAACAATGCCACTGTCGCATGCAGAAGCTTGCCATACCCCTCCAGCCTCTGGGGGCACGTGGCGTTCATGGTTACAGCATCTAAGATGCCTCAATGGTTGCAGCGGCCTCAGGACTAACTTGATTTAATAATGTTGCCTAGGATAACAGACAGCAGATTTCAATGATTCTGAACGTCCCTTCCAGGCCTCTGCTCACTTAGAAGTTACATCACTGGCTGACCTCAAATTAGGTCCTCCTCCATGGTGTAGTTTTCCCCAGAGTTGATGCATGCAACTGCAACAACAATCTAGACTCCCTGTGCCTACATGTTGGAAGGGCTGATAAGAAATATGGGAAGCACACAGGCACTCTGGACCTCTACTACTTCAAGGTGATTAGCCCAGGTGTAGGGTTGTCTATACCTTCCGGGGACAGAACCCTTGGCTAACTGTTAAAAAGAAGGAGCAAGCCCTGGCCATGCCACTTAAATGAATAAAACTGGCAGGAAACCTTATTCACAGATACTCAATCTTCCCCAAACAGACTGTAAGAACTGTTTACACATTGGCATCTGATAAGGTAGGTTGTTGCCTATGAAAGCTCATGCCTCTGAACCAGTAAGTCTTCAAAGTGCCAGACTGCTCTACCATCGACCTGACTTCAGACTCACACTGCTTTCATTGTTTCCTAGAACACAGAAGAACTCACAAACAACTCAGCTTTAAAAAGAAATGGTAAAATAGGAGGGAGGAATAAATACAACAGACTTCATTTCAGCTAGACCTGGGTGTCTCAGCATTAGCAGCAAATGCATTTCACCCCAGACGCTGCTGTATTTCAGCAGCGCAGGGAAAAGCTCTCCTGCCTAGCAATGGAACTGCTTTTTGCTCAAAGCTTTGGGATCCCTTCAGTAACAAAAAGGAAGCTTATACGAAGTAGAAACTTGGACAAATAACTAGGGAAGAACATAAGAGCACTGCTCAGACATGCAGGGATGAAGTCAGGAAGGCCAAAGCACAACTGTGGTTGCAGCTAGCGAGGGATATGAAGGGTAATAAGAAGGGTTTCTACAAGGATGTCAGTAGCAAGAAGAAGATCAGGGAAAGTGTGGGTTTCCTACTGAATGGCAGAGGCAACCTTTTTGAGCAGGGGGTTGGACTAGATCAGTGGTTCTTCACCTTTTTTATATCAGGATCCATTTGTAAATATCAATGGCCAGTCCTGACCCAATGCCCCTCATTCCCCACCTGCTGCCCTCCACCCCCAGGGACCAGCCCCCCCAGTATGCGGGGCAGGGGATGGGTGTGCAGTATGGGGGAGGTGGGCGATGGGGAGCCCCTTGCAGATTGCAGTTGGCAAAGAGAAAACCCCCGGTTTCCCCATATTTTTCTCCTTTAAAGGAAAACACATTTTTAAAGTTTGCTCATGACCCTTCCATATATTCTTGCAACCCAAGGGTTGAGAAGCATTGGACTAGCTGACTTCCTGAGGTCCCTTCCACCCCTAGCTTTCTATGATCCCCCAGGAGGGGCAAGGGCACATCCTTGCAAACTCCCGGGTCTTTCACAGGCCAGACCAGGCTGCAGGGCTCTTCCCGCTGCCCTGTCCTCCAAGGGTGTGGGGATGCGCCCTCCTCCTGGGTTAGTTTTACAAAAGAACTGAGTACCCGCAAGGACCAAAGACATGAAATTGAGACCAAGACACCGAGCTAGGAGACAACTGGGTGGCAGCTCAGAGGAAAGGCAGTAGCTCAAACTGCCAGGAGACAGAGAAGAGAATCATTGAAAGATAGGGTCAGAAAGGACCTCAGGGTTTCATCTCGTCCAACTCCCTGCTCAAAGCAGGACCAGCCCCAGGTAGATCATGGCAAGGAGGAGAGCGGGCAGCCCCCGGCCAGGACTTACCGCTGCCGGGCGATGAGCAGCCTGGGGCGGGGGAGAGGCGCTGGTCCTTGGTGCAGCCGCAGCCGCGTCCTGCGGGGCGTCGCCAAAGCAGCCGCCTCCCGCCCTGCCCTGCCCTGCCCTGCCCTGCCCCGGCGGCAGCAGCGCCCCGCGCCCGCGTGCACGAGCCGGGGGAAGCGGCAAGGCACCGAGCTGGGAGAAGGGGCTCCAGTGCTGGCTTCCCTCTTTAAAGAACAAATAACCCCCAAACGCTGCCTGGCTCCCCTCCCGCTGATACTACCACTCCTAATAGTAATCCTTGCTACTGCTGCGGGAAGGGAGCCTTGGTTTTCTGAGTGATGGTAACTAGGGTTTCTGCTGGGCTCTGCCATTCGGCTTGCGCTGGGTGCTGCTCGGATCCTGGCTTCAAACTGGAAATCACCCCTTAGCAGCCCCTCCCTGGAAACTTGAAAGAAATCGCTTTTGAAGCGTCTTTGCCCAGAGTTTCCTTCTGGTCCCAAAGCTGCGTCCAGAAAATGCTCTTTCACCCAACCCGGGAACAGTGCGGAGCTGCAAAACGGCCCCGGGCAATTACCTCCTGCTCCACCGAGCGCCTGCTTTTTAGGGGCTCTCAGGAGCCTCTCTGCAAGGGCAGGTCACTCAAAAACCTGAAGCTAGTTTCAAATGGAAGTGTCGGAATGGCTAAAATCTGCATTTATTTAAAAAAGAAATCATACAAAACTTCAGGATGGCAACTAGCTTAGCACAGGCAGTCTCATGGTTTCAGCAAAAGATACTGCATCCTTTTGGTTAACTTAACGGGCTGCTGCTGCACAGTAACACAGCATCCTGATCAGCTTCTCCCCTTTTACCTAATGCCAGGATGCCGATAGAAAAATGAATGGCACCAGTGCCACCCTTGCACTTGTGGTTGCTGTTCACCCTGGTGGAAACAGCAGGGTCTCCAGGAGATGCAATCACTGCTACTCATTCGTCATAACAGCTGTATAGGAAGTGTTGCCACGTGGAAGGGGTGCACCCGGGGGTGAGCACACCAGAAAGCATCAGTGAAGAAGAGGCACAGTATGGCATCCAGCATTTCATGCAGCTCTACCTTGGCTATTGGCTTTTCAGCACAATTAAAAAAGATTGATAAAATGCAAGGAAGCAACAGTAATGTTTAGGGAACCCTTTACACCCCAGAACTGGCATGTCAGGTCTAATTAAGAATATTTCACTGTCTAGGAGTAAGTCAGAAATAAAGTACCTTTTCTTGTTCCCCTTCCTTTACTTTTTTGCGGGGTTTAAAAAGGAGCCTAGAAGCTGTGGCAGTTGGTTTGTGGAATTTTTTTCCCCCATTAGAAATGCAGGTCACATCAGACCTCAAAGACTGTGTGCTGTGGCAACTAAAAAACTCAGGAAACTATGATACTGCAAGAGGCATGAGACTCGAGTGCTTTGATTTTAATTTCAGGGGTGTAGTTGGTAGCGGTGTTGGTCTGAGACAAAAAGACATACAAAAAACTAGAACTCTTGGTTCCAAAATGATTGATTGATTTTAATTTGATTCTGCTAATTAACTCCAATTTCTAATAGTATTTGAGAAAAAAAAACTTTTTAAGAATTACATAAAAATGACCCTCTGCCCTTTTAACTAGAGTATAAGCATTCATAAGACACATGCTTTAGTATCATTGCCCCAAAACAGAGACTTGATATTTTTTGCTATTTCTAGAGATAAGAACAAACTTCTTAAAAACCCACATCACCTTCCAGTCCTTTTTTTATACATCACAA